TTTTTTGTTAAAGTTTAATTTAACAAACATGTGATAGCACGTGACTGATTCCATCAATATTTAGAAAAATCCATCAGTTGTCTCAAATCTATTTCAAATTGGTAATATTCGAGACTAGATCTACTCTTGCCAAAACTTTAGGAACTAAAATTGCGCATTTGCTAAACATTAAGTACTAGATTTGATTCTACCAAAGGACATTAGGGTCCGAAACAGCATTTTTTTGAGCACGTGAGATAAAATGATTGTTGAAAATATTAAACATTGATTGAAAAATATATTTATAATGCAAACCAAATAATATTCGAAAAAAATCCACACGTAAACATACTCCCTCCGTCCCACTTTGATAGTCTTGTTTTCCTTTTTCGTCTGTCCCAAATTGTAGTCCACTTTCCCATTAAGAAATGTAGTACTTCCTCCGTCCCGTTTTGTTAGTCTTGGTTTTTTTTTCACACAGATTAAGAAAGTGTAATTAATTTGGTTGGAAACATAAATTTAGATTAATAATTTCCTAAAATACCCTTATGCTAATCACGAGGAGTGCATTTGAAAAACTCAATGTATTCAATGTAGTGGGTTAGTATTTAATAACAATGTATTAATAACAAGATATTTAATAAGGATATTTAATAATTTCCTAGTAAAGTGGACTGGCTAGTGATCATGTAGACCTCAATTAGTGTTAATCTCTGTAAACTGCATTGAGCTTGACAAATTTTATCTAATTTGTATATTGCTTGTTGGCACAAAAACACGCGTAATACAAGCAATTTTAGCACAGATAAAAATATGTGAAAAGAGGAGCAGGGGAATAAATATATCAACAAATATTCAACTGGCTGTTAACTCAAAACTCAACAATAATAATATCAAGTCATAATCTTTCACTCGCGACAACTCACAAATCGATTGGGACATGTAAAAGAAAATCAACTAGGACTCCAACGGGCCAAAAACAAACAGGAAACTTCCTTGAACGTATATTTAGTTTGCTGCTAACGCCAACCAAGATTGAAATTTGCATGATGGCTCACATAAAGCAATCTAACGCGGCTTCAACTGCGAAGTAATTTGGTAATATAATTAAGCTTGATTTAATTTCCTTTAATATTGTAGTTTGGTATATTCGTTACATCGATTGGGAAACATGTTGCCAGCGACATAAACCGCGTAAGTAATAAAAGAAGAGTAAATCTTTTCTACACTGACGGTGTATACACTATCACCTAAAAAGCCCTTTTTAGGTGAATATAACTATACGAGTCATTTGGTCCACTATAAGATATCAAACACTAGTTTAACTAATACAGCTTCCTAAATTTTATTTCAAAATGATCACTTCCTAAGTTTTACTAGAAAGTAAAAAACCCGTCTTTTTTAAAAGTTGAAACCCTAGCTATAAGACTCAATATTATACCCCAAAAGAGCCTACTTGTTTTAGTCTTATCTCAAACAATGAGAGATGAATATGAGGATTGGGAAGATACATTTTTGCTTGGATTTGCTTCTTAAGAAAAACAGAAGAAGAAAAATTGCGAGTGACAAAAAGATTTTTGCATGCCTCGATCGTGTGAAAAATTTGAGAAGAATAGATGGCACCAGGGAGATGACCGAAATTTCCATCAGCTCCGGTTGCTTCTATACCACGTCTGGCCTCTGTTTGTGCGCTTTAATCATAACACTATAGAAAAGGTTAAAAAAAAGCCTCACATGCTACACTATCCTTGCACGCTTTCGTACAGTTAAGATGGCAATAAATACTTTGCAGATAACTTCCTAACTATTACCAATTTTCACAAGAAAGGCATCCCAATGACTTTCTCAACACCACAAAGGTTGATCATGCAACGAGTGGGTATTAATTATCACTTAAAAGTTTAAGCTTGGCAAGAAATTCAAACAAATAGAACATCAACATATACAATTTCTGTAGATTTTCCTTTCAGCGAGGCAAACTAGTGTGGGCCTTCAGTAATTGTCAATACTAACCTTTCGAGTAAGATGTGATCAGCTGCCAAACGAAATAGGGGTACAGACTAGAACGGTGCAACACAAGTGTATTTGAATGATGCAATTACACAATTGGAATGCAATGTTTAGCTACTTGCTCAACCTCAAAACATAAGTGTGATATTCAGTAGTATTCGTGCGAGCCTATACATAGAATCAATAATAATATTTTGTTACAAAATTGTACACAAGTAATTTGACATGAATTATAACTTGTATATATATTATTATACCATCTATGAACGTTTGTACGGATACTCTCTCTTTCCTAAGAATGATTGACTGAAACAACCGTTTTAAAAAGTTCATGGTCATGATGATTTGATCAAATCTTAAATTAAAAAATGTAAAACCTAAATCACATATTGTAGGAGTATCATTTTTAACTTCTAGTGTTCTAACTTGAGTTCAAAGTGATTTAAAAGCGTAAACAAACAATTTAGAGTTTTGTTTAAATAGAGAGAACTGTCCAGATGCATTGGCATATGCCCTCGACCTGTACTAGTAGACTATTATTTGTTAGTCTTTGTCATATTTTTTTTTTTAAATTTTTTAGTAGGAGAGATGTGAGATTTAAGAAGTTGGACAGGGGCAAGGAGATTAGAATCCAGAACTTTTACGTTTTGGGAAGTCTTTGTTATATTCGCCTATACAATTAACTCAAAAAGAATATAGCAACCTATAATAGTTTAGGATTAATGTCACTTTACACCCTTCAAATGTATCCGAATTTCCACTCTAATCCCTAATTTTCAAAATGAGACACTGTAGTTCTAAAATATAAAATCTATTCCACTTAAATAAAATCCGTAGTGGAAGCGAGGCAAATATTATATTTTAGTGGGACAAATTTTTTAATTTTGGAACTAAAGAGGGACAACTTTCATAGTCTGAAGACTAAAGTATGGTGGATTTTATAGTTTGAGAATTAAAATGTCTTATTTTAAAAATTAGAGACTAAAGTGAAAATTTAGATATACTCATACAGTGCAAAGTGGAATTAATCCAAAGGTTTATCGAAGATTTTATCTTGTCCCAAAACCTAATACAGAAGTCATCATTGTTAAAAGAGTGGGGAAAGCAATTGTTGTTCTTATTCCAGGGGAGCAAGATACATTAACAGCTGAACTGAAACATGAATTAGCCTATTCAACGCTCAAATAGGATTCAACAATATAATAAAAATTACATGTGGGTTCTTTGATTTTTTTTAACACAACTATTACAAAGTTTTCTTTCATATAAAAATATCTAGATGCATGACAAAAATTAACTTTCTTTGTAAACTTAAGATTTTATATTGTGCATGTGGCATGTATTTAAAGTTAGTATAAAAATTTCTACATTAACACTAGGGATGACAATAGGGGTAGATGTTTGCATGTGCTCGTTTTGCAGGAGAGAAATAAGGTGGGGATTGGGGCAAGGCGGGGCGGCGGTGGTGGGAGAATTTTTCTCCCAGTGCCTTGAATGGGACGAGGGACAGGGGAACATACCCTTGGTCCATCCTCCGCCCCGTACCTACCTAAATTTTAACATAATATAATATAACATTTATTTCTGTTTTTATATGTATAATATGAAATAAATACTAGCTAGTATGTGTTACTGTTATTATATAAATATATTTGTATGAATTAAACAATATGTTTTTATGATAAGATGATGTAGTATTCTGCTAAAACTTCAAAAGAATGATTAATAATAATTATTTTAGATCTATATAAATAGAAAAAGTTATATCAAATATAAGATAATAAATGATAGTAGAATGGAGCAAGGTATTTGTCGCGGCAATGGAGCGGAGCAGGAGCAGCAAGGATTGGGGGAGTAGGGAACGAGGTGGGGCAGGAGAAACTTATCTAGAAGGAGGCGGGAGTGGGGGAAGCTGACTGCCTGGCTGCCTTCCCTAATTAACACAAACTATTGCAAAATGCACATACATGATACAACGTGTGTGCAATAAAAAAAATACATAATATTTATAGTTACATATTTTAGATAAAATTTTTATTATTGAAGCAAACTTTAATCTTTTAAATATTTTTTATAAAATAATTTCATATGTAGTTATGATATTTAGAGATAGTTATGTTAAAAATATATATATTTAAATGGTTAAAAGTAAAAATAGTTGTAAATAATTATAAGTAGTTAAAGTAAAAATAATTTTGATAAGAATAAAAAAGAAAGTTGATAAAGTGATGCTAAATGTTAAATTTAATGTTAATTTCAAAACCCTTCTTCAGGCTTTATATACAGTATAGATATCTAATGAATGCAAATAATGAAATCAAGTTGCACGTACACCAATGGATAAAATAAAAAAAAAATGAAAGAAAACCCTCCGAAATTTCTGTCGAGCCAAAAACAAAAAGCTCCAATATTAGCAATCGAGCCAAGTATTTGTCAGTATTTGGACTGAATTTTGTGTTTGGATTGTATTTTTTATAATTTTTTATAAAAAAATTATTATAATAATTTGATATATATATAAATAAAAATAATAAAAAATTATAATCCGGAAACAACGTAATTTTTTAATGAAAAATTGCAATCCAAAGGCCGTGTCTAATTAATCAACGCAGTATTCTCGTCAACCAACCAGATCCTCGGCTTTCAAGAAGGGCCTCACAGTCAACTTGTCCCGCCTCATTTTCCAATGAGGATAGCCCATCATGCTGACACCCATGGGCCCAAGTCCTCCATCCGACTAGGATTTTGCATATACAAACTTGCACTTTTTTAAGACCATATCCTTCTAACCTGCGCGGCGGTGCACAATATTACGCACTCACCTCAATTTCGCGTACGGCTCCAAACTTCCGCTGACGTGTGCTACAGAGCTGTAGGTGCGCTTTCAACACCCGGCGCATTTTATTACCCACCCCTTCATTTCTATTTTTTTAAAAAAATAATTTCCCACCGATTGCCCTTTCTCCCTCTAACTCTTACCCGCGCTTAAAATACTTAAATTATAACCATTTCTCACAATTCTCTCTCTTTCGTTCGCCGCCCTTTCTCTCTCTGCATATAGATACAGAAAATTGTTGTCTGTATCTATATCCGAATTTTTACACTACGCCATTACCTGATAGATCGGAAAAAGAAAGCTTTTTCCGTTAGTCATCTTTACATCTCCCGATTCAGAATTCAGATTCTGTTCTCCTCTTGCTTCGAGTTTTGATTCAACCGCCTGAGCTGGATTGCCTTTTTTTTCTCTATGGCGTGGTCGTCATGTTCATCTGCAACCAAATTCGCCGATTTTGTTGGAGTTCGGCGTAGCCGGCAATACGAAAAGTACATTTGCTCGAGAGTTTGATTATTGCGCAATTGCTTTGTTTTTTTGTTTGGTTTTTTGAAGTGATTGAGATGATTGTAAATGCTTGATCAACGGTTGTTGCTGCTACTTGCTAGTCGTTGTTGGTGAGGTTTGGAGATTTTCTGGCAGATTGTACGGAATTGCCAGGTTCTGGAATTGTCATTTTCATTTGAAAAGTTAGTTGCAGTTAGTTTTGATTGAGACAGGCGGAAAAAGGTGTGTTTGTGGACAGGCGGGTAATAATTATAGGAGACTGAAGAGGAGGAGAGATTTTGGTTGCTGTTGTTTTGATCACGAGAGGATTGTGAAAAAATGCCGCATCGGACGACCTACTTTTTTCCACGGGAATTTCCTGACAACCGCGAATTTGATCCATCCTCGTCAAAGTTTTTCTTAGATCACGAGAAGAAAATCAGCGCCACCGCAAGTGTTCATGAATCCGCACATTCGAAAGCAACAGGTACAGGCACACTGAGTACTGGTCGTGATAGATATGGTGAAAAGGTTACACGTGTTTCTTATACAGCTGTATCTGAGGAGGAGAAGGAGAAGCAGCATCTACATGGTTTCACGGGTGATAAGATCCACCGAAAGCAAGTGGCGGCTTTTGTCAACTGGTTAGCTGAGAAGAAAAAGAAAGACAGTCACGTGAGGATTAAGTTAGAAGGTTGTGATGATGAAAGTGAAGAACATGAGCAGTTGCTTCCGCCGGCACCGGAGGCTGTGTCGCCGGAGATTGTGCAGGTCGAGGTTGGCCATCATTTACCTGCGCAGGAGAAAGATCAGCATGTGTTTGACCGGCAGCTTTGTTTGACCGGTGGGAGCAATTTCGATTATAGTGTTGGGAAGGAGAGTGGGTTTGTGAGGCCTTCCTCGTTGCAGAGGTTGTCGAGTTTGGGGAGTACTAGCTATGCTGGAAGTTTGTTCTCCGGTGGGACGACGACGATTTTTGATGCAAATTGGACTAGTAGCACTGGAGTTAAGGACTCGACGACGAGGACGAGGGAAATTGAAGAGGTGGAAGAGGATGAAGAAAGGGGTAATAAGAACAGTACGGTGCAGAAGTCTAAAGAGAGTTATTACTTGCAGCTGACTCTTGCGAAACGGCTCACTGAACAAGCCACTCTTGCTAGTGAGCCTATGCTTTTGAAAGAGTGCACGAGTGCTGTGACTTCTGATGCACAAACTGTATCCTATGCTCTCTGGGTAACCCTCTCTTCTTTTTGTCGTACCTTTTTATGCCCTTAATATTTGATACGAAAGTGTTATAAACTATTTCACTTGGCCTTTCCCCAGTTGTTTTGGCTGTTTTTGTGTCCCAGTAATTACTTTTATAAAGGCTTATGGATCATGGACTGATGGTTTAGATGTTTTCTTAGTAGGATGGCCAAGACGTATGATCAAGCTTCGGTTTTCCTCCTACTAATTGTTACTTCATACGGGGTTTTAATTCTTTCTAGGAGGATGCTGTGTTTTAACCTTGCATCTTGGTGTCGGGGGGTAAATGCTTTCGCTCAAAAAAGAGATAAAGAGTAGTTCTAGTGACACCCCCGGGCAGATATCCTTTTACTGATAATAAGTGACTGCAAAAATATTTTGGTTTAAAATATGAATTTTAGACATGGGCAGTACGTTTGACAAATGGAATCATGCCTTCTTACAGCAGGAAACTTTCTACCTTCCTTTCCCTCATTTTGCTAAACTATCATGGTATCATGTGCAAATCTGCTAGCTTGTTCTTACGCAAGCACTTCTGTTTACTGTGTTCCTGTCCATCTCCAGGTCAATGGTTGCTTGTCATATACGGACAGGATATCAGATGGGTTTTATAACATTTTAGGTATGAATCCATATTTGTGGGTGATGTGCAATGACGTAGAGGAAGGTACAAGTTTGCCGTCTCTGATGGCACTTAAAGCTGTTGATCCCATTGATACATCAATGGAGGTAGTTCTTGTGGATCGGCGTGGCGACTCCCGGCTCAGGGAGCTAGAAGATAAAGCTCAAGAGCTGTATTTTGCAGCAGAAAATACTTTGATGTTAGTAGGCGAACTCGGCAAACTTGTTGCTGTCCATATGGGGTAGGTATTGAATTCTTCTTTCAGACAACCTTGCACTTGTTTATGCTTCTTTGTAAGGCCATTAAGTTTGTTGAATTTAAGGGGCTCTTTTCCAATGGAGCAAGGTGATCTTCATAGGCGCTGGACTTTTGTGAGCAAGAGATTGAAAGATATGCAGAAATGTACAGTGCTTCCCATTGGGAATTTATCCATGGGACTTTGCAGGCACCGAGCAATTCTCTTCAAGGTAATTTTGTGGAGCTACTCTTGACTTCTTAAAAGGAGAAAATTTCTCTTATACATTTTCTTTTACCCCAGGTATCTACTCAATGCACTCTAATTTACCCCAGGAAAATTTCTCTTAAACTAAATGATTAAGTGGCTAAATGGCCCCAATCCATATACGCGGCTGGTTAGGATTTGAATGTATAGGGATTTTGAGGGAACCATGTCGAAGGAACTTGGTAAAATGACCCCACTTTCATGATTAAAGAATCTTGTTAGGTTTTATATGAAAGAATGAGAAGGTAATAAGTATATGAAAATATAGCTGATGTGTCCTCTTCACATTATCTATGGAGAGAGTGCTATTTTGCTGTATCAGCACAAGGAATGAAACCAAATACGACAACTAGGAAGAAATCATGACAACAGTGAAGCTAAAAGATCAGATTCTTTATGCTCTTAGGACATGATTGTACTAATGCACTGATTTTCCAAGAGCACGGTTGGTGCCTAAGTGTCACAAACTGTCCACAGTTTACCATGGGAGTAGGCATCCTTAGTTGCTTCTCTTTGATAATGTGTAAAAAATTTGGAAGAGTGTTTCCATATGAGATGCTTTACATATCATGATTATTTAGGAATATTCAGGTATTTGTTTATTAATTACTCGACACAGAATTTTTCCTTACTGTATGTTGATCATGGCATCACTGGTTCAAATAGTTGAAAATTGAACTCATGCCAAACCTTGTTGAACAAGTAACGTCTTGTACATTTTATTTAATTTTGGTTCAAACATATAGATAGTCCTGTCTGGCTGGCTAGCTTTCTTGTGCTGTAAATGATGAAAATTTCAGTATAGTTATGTAAGGGAAAAGTTAGTTTGAAATTACAAAAGTAATCCTTTCTGCAACTTAGTTTGGATAAGTGCCTACTGGCCTGAGTTACTGGGTCCCTAGTGCTTCTGGGTCACCTTGTTTATCTTATTATACAGGAAGCAAGGCCACTATAGTAACCACAAGTTTATATGCAGAAATTGGCCGATTATGTAGGTTTGCCCTGCAGGATAGCTCGAGGCTGCAGGTACTGTGTTGCAGACCATCGATCTTCCTGCCTTGTAAAAGTTGAGGATGACATGAGGTCATCAAGGTAATGCAATATGTATTTTTCTCTTAGATATTTGCCAGATATTCTATTCAAAGGAGAGAGAATAAGGATGGGAGGCCATATTTAAAGATGTAGTTCTCTTTTAGTTCTTCTTGACTTCTTATTGGCTGGGAGAATGTAGTAGTGTCATTCTGTCAGTGGTAGCATGTTTAATCAAGTTGACTACCTATCTTTTAAATGATCTTTCACATGCTTTTATTTGTCTTGATTTTAGCAGGTCTCTAAGTTTTTTAATTTTGTATGTTCATTCTTTGTTCGGTTTTCCCCCTGCGTTTGATAGGACTTCTACTGTCCTAGAAACTACTTTTTTTTGTTTTGGGGGGGGTGGGGCGGGGGCCTGTACTTGCAAACCTTTTTGCCATACCATTTTTCCAATGCTTGTTCTGCTATTTTTTTTAACTGTCTAGTAAAAGGCAGTTATCTTGAGGCTCGATACAATGCTTGAACTGTTTAACATATTTCTCTACATCAGGGGGCATGGATTACAAGGTAACATCATGTAGGCTAACAAGTCATATACTATAGTTTTGAACATGTCTTTAAGTTGTTTTAAGATTTTGGTTCACGTGACTCTTTCTGAAAACACGTTTAACGTTTTATCAGGGAATTTGTAGTTGACCTAGTTGGGGAACCGGGAAATGTGCATGGTCCAGATTTTTCCATAAGTGAGGGAGTTCTTTCCTCAGTGCCTTCGCCATTTCAGATTTCTCATCTAAAAGAACATCAAGATCCTTACTTGGATCGTGAAGTATGTAGTCAAATGCAAAGCTCAAAGAAATTTTGCACTCCTAAAAATATTCTCTATTCAGGTATTTAATTCTTTTTTTTATGTATTTGAGTTTATTATTGGTTTTCCTCGTTGGTCAAGAATTGCGAGTGTCTTTCATTTGAATTTTATACTACAAAACACGTGGGGTGTTGTGCAAAATTTTCCACAGTGATTAATTTGAGTGATTACGTGATGCCTTTTGACTTTCTTCTACTGTGTATTGTTAGCTGCAGGAGCCCCTGGTGCTTGTCTACGTCCATCTAATGAACTAAAATCAAATGCATTGCCTCCTTGATTGCTGCACAATGTGGACTTTTACATCCTGTCACTTATCAGCATGAAATATGGGAGAAGCTCCTATGTTTGATGTGTTATGTATTCAAAATATTGAAATTCATTCTGCATTCAGCATCTTGAAGAATTCTTGTAATCACGAATTTACTTTTGAAACCATAAAGCGAAAGACTAAAGTGAATGAATTAGTTTTACAGTAACAATCATAATACTGGAATATGTGGCTTTTTGTCATTTGAAGCTTATTTTCCATATCTTTCAGGCAATGAGGAAGGTGGTCATGCAGTGCAGGGGATTGGCCTGCACCACAATCTGAGGGATACAATGTACTGTCTGACTAATCAAGCTTCTGGAAGTGCAATACGTGCACCTATTATGGCCGGTATAGCAGTGGATGAATGCTCTCTATCCAGAGATGAAAATGCAGTTGTTAGCCAGGGATACAAAAACGAGATCGTCATGTCTGGAAATTCAGTTGTATGTGCTGCTGGCATGCAAATTGCTAAGTTGACGTTGCCTGTTACGACAAGTTTGATGGATGTTGAGAGCCGACCTAAGAAGTGCGGGAGGTATCCTGCTGGTGGCCATTCTAGATACTTGAATCTTGAACCTTCACTTGCAATGGATTGGCTTGAGATATCATGGGATGAATTACATATTAAGGAGCGTGTTGGTGCTGGTACTTCCTTTGCTATCTTTTGTCTAATATGGAAAGCTTAAGAATTACCGTTAACTTTATCGTCTGTGCAGCAACTAAAATGTTTGCATCCTGCCTTCCAGGTTCATTTGGGACTGTATATAGAGCTGAATGGCATGGATCGGTTAGTAATATAGCTCCAACTTTATTTGTTATCAGCTGCCCTTTTAGACACTCTAAGACTCCCTAAGTTATTTGTATCCCTGGTACCAAGATATACAGGTAGTTTTGAGTGTGCATTTAGGTGTCCATTACTACTTTACTTGTTCCCAGAACTAAATTTGTTTATACAAATAAAAGATTCCTTGGTCTGCTTGGAATCATTTGTGCATGATCATGTACTAAATGCATTAAAAGATTACAGATCTAGAAATACTCGCCACTTTGAAGGTGATATTTGACTGAAAACAAAGTGGGATGTGTATGGTTCATGTTTATAGAATTTTCAGTCTAGAGCAAAAGCTTCCTCTTTTTTCACATTATGATTTTGAATACAATATTCGTTTCATGTGAAGCTCAAAGTACTTAATTTCTTGCAGGATGTTGCGGTCAAGGTGCTAACTATCCAAGATTTCCATGATGACCAGTTCAAGGAGTTCCTGAGGGAGGTATGCCTTGCGGACCTAATTGTTCGCTACAAGTATAATGATCTCAGATACTTTTCGTATGCAGAATATTTTGTTATCCGACAGTCTTGTGGCATCCACTCTGGAATAAAAAGTCATTTAAGCATGGATCACAATGCACTTACTTCATTGTCTATTATATAATCTTATTTTTGCGACGTGAACTTGACTCCTGTGCCAGAGTTCTTTTATGAAGTAGTAGCTTATATTCTGAAAAACAAATCTGTGGCTTTTCAAGGTTGCAATTATGAAACGTGTTCGTCATCCAAACGTCGTTCTTTTCATGGGAGCTGTTATGAAGCGTCCACATTTGTCGATTGTGACAGAATATTTACCTAGGTACATTTTTTCTTAGTTTCTGTGGAAAGTTAAGTGCTATTTTGTCACCAGAGATTAAATTTTCACTAATTTATGTATGCAATGGCCAATTGTTATGAAACAGAGGAAGTCTGTATCGCTTGATACACAGGCCTGCAGCTGGAGAAATATTGGATCAGAGGAGGCGGCTAAGGATGGCTCTGGATGTGGTTAGTGCAGAATATAGATGTCCCAATCATACTGCTTATCCTCATGTACAAAACTTTCTTATGCCTATTACTTGCAGGCGAAGGGCATCAACTATCTTCATTGTTTGACTCCTTCCATTGTTCACTGGGACCTCAAATCTCCAAATCTGTTGGTTGATAAAAATTGGACTGTAAAGGTACACAATGTTAATCCACTTGGTTGGTAAATTTGCTTTCAACCAACCTAGACTTGCTTTAACTTCTTTTGTTATGGTACGCACCAGGTTTGTGATTTTGGCTTGTCAAGATTTAAAGCAAGCACGTTTATCTCATCAAAGTCTGTTGCTGGAACGGTAAGCCTCGCTATCCTCTCTCTCTCTCTCTCTCTCACATGCTTGCGCATGTACAATTAGAAGGATTAGTGTTGATACATCACTAGTTTGTGTACTTTGTCACATTCCCTTGTAGGTTAAGCTTTACTTGTAGAATGAGATACTGATGGTGCTCATGTTTGACAAGATTTCGCTGAGTGTTTAATGTAATTGTCATTTGAGTGCAAATGGTTATATAAATCTCATTGATTTGATTATATCTAATTTACCCTTGGGATCAAGGTCTAACCAATTTCTAGAAATGGTGTTAGCTTTGCTGTGAATAAACGTACCATAGCCACGAAAGTTTTTGAATTGCTGTTCTGTTGACAGAAGAAGAGCTCTCCCACTAGGGAGTTATGTTTCTGATTATGATTTGTTGCACTACTAATTATTTACTAAATATCTAAGGAAGTTCTATTTCCCAAGTCTTATGTGTACATGCATTTTAGCTTTGCATATGGATTTTTTTTAGCAACTATTTGGACAAGTGGTCTCCTTTTCTTGCTCAACAGAAAGTCAGCTATATGCAAGTTAACATCTTGCAGGTTGAGCATTTATTTGGCCCTGCATCATTTAGCATGTAACTCTCTTGCTTTTCCTTTCAGCCCGAGTGGATGGCCCCTGAATTTCTTCGAGGAGAGCCCTCAAATGAGAAGTCTGACGTCTACAGTTTTGGAGTCATCTTGTGGGAGCTTGTGACTATGCAACAGCCTTGGAGTGGGCTTAGTCCAGCTCAGGTTTGTTTTGAGCTGTAATACAGACAACATAAAGTGCTGCATGGAAAAATTACATTTGTAGCCTATTTCTTACACAAAGCACAACCAAGTTTCATAATGCCATATAATTGAGGAAAACCTTGAAATGTCTCAGGTTGTTGGTGCGGTAGCTTTCCAGAATAGAAGACTCGTTATTCCGCCTAATACATCTCCTATCCTCACGTCTTTAATGGAATCATGTTGGGCTGAGTAAGAATTTTTTGCTGTTTTAGATCTATTGTTACTTCAGTACTCCTGTACATTCAAAAAGATATTCGGTAATCTGATCTGGGATTTGGCCTTTGGGTTGAAATGAATCTAAGTTGTTGGAAGGGATTGGCTCGTGCAAATTTGTAGCGAATTTCTTAGATTCTGTAACAACTAGATATAAAACAAGTTGCTTGTCTTTGATTACACCACACCTCTTATGCTATTAATTTCTGATTTTTTTTTTTTTGGGACAGTGACCCCGCACAGCGTCCGTCCGTTAAGAGCATTGTGGAGACACTAAAGAAGTTGTTAAAGTCCCCGATGCAGCTGATTCAAATGGGAGGGCCATGAAGAGGCATCTCCAATTCTTGTTGTCAGGCGTTTTGACGATTTTCGGCACTTTGGTACGCCTAATTGTCCATTGTGGTGTGGTGAAGAAACCACAATTTAAAGTAATGTAGATAGAGATCGTTACAGAGTTAAAGCAACAAGTGGAGATAGTTTCTTAGCTAACCTATCCGAAGAAGAAGTTAATTAAAGATGTCCACTGCCTGTTATATTTGCATCTTTGGGAGATCCTGTAGCAGGTTTCCTGCAGTGCAAAGCCGCTGGTGTTCCGGTGAGCATCTTTTTTTCATGCCTAGCGACAAATAAACAGCCGTATACCATGTATTGCATTTGCAGGCTTACTTTGTTGGCCATAATGAGCCAGAAGCAGAGCCATAATGTATTGCATTTGCAGGCTTACTCTAGTTTATGTAATTTGAATAATGTTAATTAAAATTCAGCTAATATGTTTTTTTTGTCAAGAAAATTCAGCTAATTAGTCATGGTCTCCTTGGTGTTTTTTTTTTTTTTTTTGTCTAGTATGTAATACTGAATGTGATCGACCATCTACGATAAACATCTAACATTAAACTATAAAGAGCACCTAGTGTCGTATCATTTTCCATTCTCTCACCATGGATGCTGGATCATAGCAGTTGCAAAACGATTTGGGGATCTTAAGAGCTTTTCAAGTCTTTGGAGCATTTAAGACTTGATCTATTGGAACTTTTGATGGAATGCCAAGGCAAATGACGTTTCCAGTCATGATTACCGATTCATCTTAGCTTTACGTCTTTTAAGTCAATATTTTACATATTAATTAGAGACAAACATAGCGGATACACACACTTCTTTTTTCATCCTTTTTTTTTTTTTTTGGATAAACGTTCTTTTAGTATCTTGCACATATTGATTCTGTATTTTGTGTACAATATAAAGGGTGAGGACTTTATGTCAATATTAGGATAAAAACTCTAATACGCTGATTCTGTATTTTGTGTATAATATATAGGACAAGGATTCAAATAAGATTGTGTTTTGTGTGATTTCATCTAGTCTTTGTACCATATGTTCAAATTTTTAAAATATTCTCTATTCAGGTATTTAATTCTTTTTTTTATGTATTTGAGTTTATTATTGGTTTTCCTCGTTGATTAAGAATTGCGAGTGTCTTTCATTTGAATTTTATACTACACAACACGTGGGGTGTTGTGCAAAATTTTCCACAGTGATTAATTTGAGTGATTAGGTGATGCCTTTTGACTTTCTTCTACTGTGTATTGTTAGCTGCAGGAGCCCCTGGTGCTTGTCTACGTCCATCTAATGAACTAAAATCAAATGCATTGCCTCCTTGATTGCTGCACAATGTGGACTTTTACATCCTGTCACTTATCAGCATGAAATATGGGAGAAGCTCCTATGTTTGATGTGTTATGTATTCAAAATATTGAAATTCGTTCTGCATTCAGCATCTTGAAGAATTCTTGTAATCACGAATTTACTTTTGAAACCATAAAGCGAAAGACTAAAGTGAATGAATTAGTTTTACAGTAACAATCATAATACTGGAATATGTGGCTTTTTGTCATTTGAAGCTTATTTTCCATATCTTGCAGGCAATGAGGAAGGTGGTCATGCAGTGCAGGGGATTGGCCTGCACCACAATCTGAGGGATACAATGTACTGTCTGACTAATCAAGCTTCTGGAAGTGCAATACGTGCACCTATTATTGCCGGTATAGCAGTGGATGAATGCTCTCTATCCAGAGATGAAAATGTAGTTGTTAGCCAGGGATACAAAAACGAGATCGTCATGTCTGGAAATTCAGTTGTATGTGCTGCTGGCATGCAAATTGCTAAGTTGATGTTGCCTGTTAAGACAAGTTTGATGGATGTTGAGAGCCGACCTAAGAAGTGCGGGAGCTATCCTGCTGGTGGCCATTCTAGATACTTGAATCTTGAACCTTCACTTGCAATGGATTGGCTTGAGATATCATGGGATGAATTACATATTAAGGAGCGTGTTGGTGCTGGTACTTCCTTTGCTATCTTTTGTCTAATATGGAAAGCTTAAGAATTACCGTTAACTTTATCGTCTGTGCAGCAACTAAAATGTTTGCATCCTGCCTTCCAGGTTCATTTGGGACTGTACATAGAGCTGAATGGCATGGATCGGTTAGTAATATAGCTCCAACTTTATTTGTTATCAGCTGCCCTTTTAGACAGTCTAAGACTCCCTAAGTTATTTGTATCCCTGGTACCAAGATATACAGGTAGTTTTGAGTGTGTATTTAGGTGTCCATTACTACTTTACTTGTTCCCAGAACTAAATTTGTTTATACAAATAAAAGATTCCTTGGTCTGCTTGGAATCATTTGTGCATGATCATGTATTAAATGCATTAAAAGATTACAGATCTAGAAATACTCGCCACTTTGAAGGTGATATTTGACTGAAAACAAAGTGGGATGTGTATGGTTCATGTTTATAGAATTTTCAGTCTAGAGCAAAAGCTTCCTCTTTTTTCACATTATGATTTTGAATACAATATTCGTTTCACGTGAAGCTCAAAGTACTTAATTTCTTGCAGGATGTTGCGGTCAAGGTGCTAACTATCCAAGATTTCCATGATGACCAGTTCAAGGAGTTCCTGAGGGAGGTATGCCTTGCGGACCTAATTCTTCGCTACAAGTATAATGATCTCAGATACTTTTCGTATGCAGAATATTTTGTTATCCGACAGTCTTGTGGCATCCACTCTGGAATAAAAAGTCATTTAAGCATGGATCACAATGCACTTACTTCATTGTCTATTATATAATCTTATTTTTGCGACGTGAACTTGACTCCTGTGCCAGAGTTCTTTTATGAGGTAGTAGCTTATATTCTGAAAAACAAATCTGTGGCTTTTCAAGGTTGCAATTATGAAACGTGTTCGTCATCCAAACGTCGTTCTTTTCATGGGAGCTGTTATGAAGCGTCCACATTTGTCGATTGTGACAGAATATTTACCTAGGTACATTTTTTCTTAGTTTCTGTGGAAAGTTAAGTGCTATTTTGTCACCAGAGATTAAATTTTCACTAATTTATGTATGCAATGGCCAATTGTTATGAAACAGAGGAAGTCTGTATCGCTTGATACACAGGCCTGCAGCTGGAGAAATATTGGATCAGAGGAGGCGGCTAAGGATGGCTCTGGATGTGGTTAGTGCAGAATATAGATGTACCAATCATACTGCTTACCCTCATGTACAAAACTTTCTTATGCCTATTACTTGCAGGCGAAGGGCATCAACTATCTTCATTGTTTGACTCCTTCCATTGTTCACTGGGACCTCAAATCTCCAAATCTGTTGGTTGATAAAAATTGGACTGTAAAGGTACACAATGTTAATCCACTTGGTTGGTAAATTTGCTTTCAACCAACCTAGACTTGCTTTAACTTCTTTTGTTATGGTACGCACCAGGTTTGTGATTTTGGCTTGTCAAGATTTAAAGCAAGCACGTTTATCTCATCAAAGTCTGTTGCTGGAACGGTAAGCCTCGCTATCCTCTCTCTCTCTCTCTCTCTCTCACATGCTTTCGCATGTACAATTAGAAGGATTAGTGTTGATACATCACTAGTTTGTGTACTTTGTCGCATTCCCTTGTAGGTTAAGCTTTACTTGTAGAATGAGATACTGATGGTGCTCATGTTTGACAAGATTTCGCTGAGTGTTTAATGTAATTGTCATTTGAGTGCAAATGGTTATATAAATCTCATTGATTTGATTATATCTAATTTACCCTTGGGATCAAGGTCTAACCAATTTCTAGAAATGGTGTTAGCTTTGCTGTGAATAAACGTACTATAGCCACGAATGTTCTAGAATTGCTGTTCTGTTGACAGAAGAAGAGCTCTCCCACTAGGGAGTTATGTTTCTGATTATGATTTGTTGCACTACTAATTATTTACTAAATATCTAAGGAAGTTCTATTTCCCAAGTCTTATATGTACATGCATTTTAGCTTTGCATTTGGATTTTTTTTAGCAACTATTTGGACAAGTGGTCTCCTTTTCTTGCTCAACAGAAAGTCAGCTATGCAAATTAACATCTTGCAGGTTGAGCATTTATTTGGCCCTGCATCAATCAGCATGTAACTCTCTTGGTTTTCCTTTCAGCCTGAGTGGATGGCCCCTGAATTTCTTCGAGGAGAGCCCTCAAATGAGAAGTCTGACGTCTACAGTTTTGGAGTCATCTTATGGGAGCTTGTGACTATGCAACAGCCTTGGAGTGGACTTAGTCCAGCTCAGGTTTGTTTTGACCTGTAATACAGACAACATAAAGTGCTGCTTGGGAAAATTACATTTGTAGCCTATTTCTTACACAAAGCACAACCGAGTTTCATAATGCCATATAATTGAGGAAAACCTTGAAATGTCTCAGGTTGTTGGTGCGGTAGCTTTCCAGAATAGAAGACTCGTTATTCCGCCTAATACATCTCCTATCCTCACGTCTTTGATGGAATCATGTTGGGCTGAGTAAGAATTTTTTGCTGTTTTAGATCTATTATCGTTACTTCAGTACTCCTGTACATTCAAAAAGATATTCGTTAATCTGATCTGGGATTTGGCCTTTGGGTTGAAATGAATCAAAGTTGTTGGAAGGGATTGGCTCGTGCAAATTTGTAGCGAATTTCTTATAGATTCTGTAACAACTAGATATAAAACAAGTTGCTTGTCTTTGACTACACCTCTTATGCTATTAATTTCTGATTTTTTTTTTTTGGACAGTGACCCTGCACAGCGTCCGTCCATTAAGAGCATTGTGGAGACACTAAAGAAGTTGTTGAAGTCCCCGATGCAGCTGATTCAAATGGGAGGGCCATAAAGAGGCATCTCCAATTCTTGTTGTCAGGCGTTTTGACGATTTTCGGCACTTTGGTACACCTAATTGTCCATTGTGGTGTGGTGAAGAAACCACAATTTAAAGTAATGTAGATAGAGATCGTTACAGAGTTAAAGCAACAAGTGGAGGTAGTTTCTTAGCTAACCTATCCGAAGAAGAAGTTAATTAAAGATGTCCACTGCCTGTTATATTTGCATCTTTGGGAGATCCTGTAGCAGGTTTCCTGCAGTGCAAAGCCGCTGGTGTTCCGGTGAGCATCTTTTTTTCATGCCTAGCGACAAATAAACAGCCGTATACCATGTATTGCATTTGCAGGCTTACTTTGTTGGCCATAATGAGCCAGAAGCAGAGCCATAATGTATTGCATTTGCAGGCTTACTCTAGTTTATGTAATTTGAATAATGTTAATTAAAATTCAGCTAATTTTTTTTTTTTGTCAAGAAAATTCAGCTAATTAGTCATGGTCGCCTTGGTGCTTTTTGTCTAGTATGTAATGCTGAATGTGATCGACCATTTATGATACGCATCTTACTAACATTAAACCATAAAGAGAACCTAGTGTCGTCATATCATTTTCCATTCCCTCATCATGGATGCTGGATCATAGCAGTTGCAAAACGATTTGGGGATCTTAAGAGCTTTTCAAGTCTTTGGAGCATTTAAGACTTGATCTATTGGAACTTTTGATGGAATGCCAAGGCAAATGAAGCTTCCAGTCATGATTACCGATTCATCTTAGCTTTACGTCTTTTAAGTCAATATGTTACATATTAATTAGAGACAAACATAGCGGATATACACACTTCCTTTTCATCCTTCTTTTTTGGGATAAACGTTCCTTTAGATGCACAAGCATGGGATGCGTCGAAATACTCGTAGGAGTATAGTACTGCTGAACAGTCACTTTCTCATATTCAACTCTTTTTTCATCCAAAACTGAAAAAAATCGGTCTCTCAGAGTAAATAACACGAACACTTATCAATCAATTTTAGAGCGATCAAATCAAAGATGTGGTCCGATCTTCTTGTTCAAGCGGGCATGATCCTCTTCACAATCTTCATGTTTCTGTATATGCAAAACATCCCCCAAAAATTCTTCTCCAAGCTTCGGCTCCGGGGCCAAGCCAATGTTCAAGCCAAGCGCCACTTCATCAAAGGAGCTCAGCTCTACTCTCAAGCCAAATTGGCCAAAGACCGCTCATCCACTTCCTCCCTGGCCAAGTCGGCCGAAGAAGAAGCCGACGTGGCTATCGCTCTGGACTCCAAGGACGCCGCGGCTCACATTCTCAAGGCGCTGGTTCTGGAGCTCAGGGGACTGAAGGCCGCCGCCATCGACACGCTCGACACCGCTCTTTCGCCGGGTTTGGCGCGATCGTTGAGCGGGGAGGAGAGAGGGGACGCTTTGTTTAAGAGAGCTGAGTTGAGACTGGCGCTGAGTCGACGCGGGCAGGTTGACTCGGCCGTGGAGGACCTGGTGGAATCGGTGAAGCTCAAGGGTGACAATGCTAGGGCCTACTGTTTGTTGGGTGACAGCTATAAAAAGAAGGGGATGGTGGAAGAGGCTAAGAAGGCTTATGAGGATGCCCTCAAGGTCCAGCCCACTAATAGCGAGGCCCGCGAGGAATTGGAACGCTTGGCTCCGTAGTCCAACTTGGGATTTGTCTTGTTTGTGGACTGTTGAATTTGCATTCTCTTTTTGTTTTGATTTTAAGCATCTATGAGAACTGAGGAGGCATTGCCCAAGAAGTTTCTGCTCTAGACACCTCGCTTAATTTTCCGGCCATGTTTGTAGACTTGAAGCAGTTTCTTGCTATATTTTCTTTTTCTGAAACTGACTAACGTGTAATTATTGCATGATTATTAATATTAACCTAAACAAAATAAGATAACGTGTTGCTAGTGCTGGTATAATCCACCTATATGAGGTAAAAACAAATAAATAAATGAAATAACGTGACTAGACTCTATGAGGATATATATATATATGTGATGTATGGAGAGTAAGGATTGATTAAGATTGTAAGAGCATTTTTATCTCTATGGAACTGTCCTCCTATTACCTTTGTTGAACAATTCGTGTCATACAATTTTCAATAAATTTAGTAGTAGTAAAATCTTCTTTGTTATTAAAAAAATGAATATATAGTTTAGACTTATAAGTTATTTTTGTGCATAAAGAGTAAGGGTTTATTAGAGTTGTAATTATAGCTGTCAAATAAACCCATTTAATTAAGTTTACCTATACCCGCCCATGAATAGATGGGTATGGGTATCTTAAATTTTTACATATGGATATAAATGGGTTACCCAATAATATCCATTTAATAAATGGGTATTATTGGATTACCCAATTAATTCATTTAGAATTGTCTTCCCCCACCCATTTTTTTTTTCAAAATTTTCACTTTGTCATGATGTTAACTATTTTTGTTTCATTATTATTATTATTTGTTGGTTTTATCTTATCATTTTATTTTCTTTTAGTTTGTTAACTTGCTCATTTTTCAACATTACCAATTTATGACAAGTTTTAGTCTCTTTTCTTACTTTTCCAAAATGAAATTTTAAATTTACACACGAAAAAATGCTAGATGTTCAAAATTTTTGGATTAAGTTTTTATGTTAACTTTTATAGTACTTAGTTCAAATTTTTGTATTCCTGTTATTTAATTATTAATTAGTATGTAATTTTGCGACATAGAGTACAGATGAGAAAAAATTGATAATTAGATTTATTAAGTATTATAAATAAATATTTAAAACTAATGATGGGGGCAAAGGATAGTATAAATTGATAACTTAGTTTGTAAAAATGAATATAAATGAATTTACAAAAAGTTAAAAAAAATGGGTTATAAATGGGTAATTAGGTTACCCAATTCATTTTTTGACTTACCCATTTATACCCATCTAATTAAATGGGTATAAATGGGTTGACTTACTTATACCCATTATCCATTTTACCCAATCCAAACCCGCCCAAATCACCCATTTTGACACCTCTAGTTGTAATTAAGTATTTCTATGCCATGCCACGTTCATGTGGAGGTTCGACTCTAATTATCAAGACGAACCTCTCGTTATTGCGACTTGCTGTGCTCATTTTTCGTACCATATATGAAGTCCCCAAAAAAAAAGAAAGGAAACTTCCGATAGCGTAAAGTAGAAAATGAGCACCAGTAATACGCGCAATTGAAGGAAATTTAGAGACTCTGATGATCATGGTTCAAAGACTCGGACTAGTCACCGGAAACGGAGCTCTCCGATATCATATCGGGACGAGTTGACTTCAAAATAATGGATCGCCGAGAATTCGGTCGATTCGCTGAGAACTCAGTAAAGACATTTACGAAATGGATAAAAATGGCCAAACCACCCCAAGTCATTTCGAATCAACTCAAAATTTTTATTATTTTTGTTTATTATATATATATTTTATATTATACATAATTTTTAAAATATTAAATATTTCAAAAATTTGCGTCTCGTCGAAACTGCGACCCATATGTCAAGACCGACGTGGAACAGTCGTTCCACGACTGCGACTTTGAACCATTATGATGATTGACATAGTCCATCATCATATTAAATTCAACGCGGTAGACGGCAATGAGCCAACTTTTATCGCATTGACGAGGGAGTTTACTAGTTTCCTAGATATCTTTTGGACCATTATCATCATAATTGAGACTTTGAAGTGTAGCCAAAAGAATCAGCTAACTAAACGCGTGGATCAATATTGATGGAGTTCAGAAAAGCAGTGCAAAAATGGGAGTTTTGTTGCTCACAGACAACTGTTGTTTCATGGATTTTCTGGTTAATGACACTATGTCATCTCTTTACTAGTTCCAAGGGGACAGCGGCAGAGCACGAAAGAAGAGCTCTTTTTCAACTTAGGGATTCTCTGAATCACCCAAATGGCTCTGCACTTGTAAATGAATGGGTTGGAGATGATTATTGTGCTTGGGGTGGCATTTTCTGTGCTAGGTACTTAGATGGAGACCTTCGTGTTCTTGATATTTTCCTAACAAGTAAAAGGCAACTTGGACTCGGAGTTTGGTATCCCAATGCCAGTCTGTTATCTCATTTTAAGGGTCTTCAGTCTCTTGACCTATCTGGGAATTACTTTGGCAGTTGGGTCATGCCAGAAGGTGCCCTCTTTCGCCTTATGTAGTATCATTTTCGTTAAGTAGTATCATCTTTGGCAGTTGCAAATTACTTTTAAGGTTATCTCTTTCTTTAATTTTTTTTTTTTTAAAAAAAAATTGATAATGCAGGCAAGAATTTGTTTCATAGTTTTGGCACTTGCAGCACTATGCAGGTTGGATAACCTTAAAGTGCTGGACCTGAGTTCAAATGCTGTGGATGGTGATATATTACCTCACTTTAAGACATGCAGTCTTTCTTCTTTGGAGGAACTGCGCCTGTCAAGCATTTATCCCAAATTCGTTCCAGTTTTAACAGGTCAGTCACGTAGTAGTTCAGATAGTTAATGAACTATATTGTATGCAGAGATATGCACGATTACAGAATTTATGAGTATTTTCTTAACTTTCATGACAATTATTAAACTACTCTTCCTAAATTCTAGCTTTCTGTCAACTCAAGAATCTTCGGTCACTGGATCTAAGTAACAATAACATCAATGATGAAAATGCTCCAACATGCCTGTTGAAAAACCTTTCCTCGCTTGAGATACTTGACTTATCAGGAAATCGTCTATTGAACTCTCCCCGTATATTAACAGGTAAGTTTTTCGTAACCTGAATAGCAAGATTTAATGTCTCTCCAGAGTTGCAATGGTACTCTCTCTTTTAGATGGAGAGACGTTAGAATGATTCCATCCTCAAACAAGTTCCAAAGTCCTTGAATTAATTATCATCGATTTGTTCCAGCTCTATGCAGTCTGAGGAACCTCAGAAGACTGGACTTGAGTGAACTTTCTGGATGATATTAGCATACCACCTTGCCTATTCGACAACAGCTCATCATTGGAAAGTCTGGACATTTCTCTGAATTATATCAAGAACCCCTCAAAACTCTTTTCAGGTATGGTTGATGAAATATGTGGCAATATAAAAGCAAATGCCACTCAGCATGTTTAGTTCTGTGATTGACATGCTTCTTGATTATTCTCGATATATGTCAAGATCATGTGCATATAATGCTTCACTAACTTGTATGTTTTTGGTGCTCCAAGATTATTGCTTAAATAAGATGCATCACTTTGTCCTAGTGGTGGTGATTCTGGACATCCGATTTTGCAGGAATTTGCAAACTCCAGAAGTTGCAGATGTTGAACCTAAAAGGAAACCTGATTCAAGGAGGAATAGATCCGTGCCTAAGTGAAATGACATCCTTGATTTCTTTAGATCTATCCTTCAACCATTGTCAAGGAAATTTCCCTTCTAATACATTTAGAAACTTGACTTCGCTCCAAACCTTGCTTATCTCAGATAACAAGTTCGGTGGAATTCTTTCTTTTGCAATGTTTGCTAATTTCTCAAATCTCCAAGACATTGATCTGTCAAACAATATGTTTGAGGTGAATACTGAAACTCCACGCTGGTATCCTTCATTCCAGCTTGTATCTCTCAATTTGAGAAATTGTGGTGTAAACAATTACCATGGTCGGGTGGTTCCAAGCTTCATTTCTAGTCAAAAAAATTTTAAAGTCGTTTCTTTGGCCTATAATGCCCTGCAAGGAGCACTTCCCTCCTGGCTAATATATAATACAACACTTGATCTACTGTCTTTGAGAGGGAACTCTTTTAGTGGAGGTTTCCCCTTGTCTTCCAGGTTAGCAACCTCAATGCTCATAATGCTAGATATATCTGATAATCGACTTTATGGGCAGCTTCCTGCTACCATTCACCAACTGTTCCCAGACTTGAATTACTTAAACACATCTTTTAATCTTTTCAAAGGAGACATCCCTTCTTCCTATGGAAATCTAACAAAATTGGAGGTGTTAGATCTATCTAACAATTTCTTTCAAGGCATAATCCCTGCGTCTTTAAGGCAGAATCACACTTCACTAGCACAGCTAGTTCTATCAGGCAACCATTTTCACGGGCGGACCATGCCTTTATTTTCAAATATGTCAAATCTTGCTTACTTGCATCTCCAAAATCTTGGCTTCAGTGGGTCCATCACTCATAGTTTAATGAATCTTCCCATTCTAAAGGTTCTAGATATAAGTCGGAATAATCTATCTGGCAATATCCCTAACTGGTTTCACACATTTCCAAACCTTGCCATAATTCTATTTTCCAGGAATAAGTTTCATGGAATCATCCCCATATCATTATGTCAGATGCAAACATTGCATGTCTTGGATTTTGCTTCAAATTCTTTATCTGGGGTTATTCCTTCATGTCTCAGTAACATAACATCATGGAAGAAAGAATCCGAACTTCTACTTCCTTCTTTTATGTGGTTATCACCTACATATGCCAATTACAGAGTCAAAGTTCCCTTGACAGCAAAGGGCAACAGACTACTTTATGAAGGCACTCCTCTTTCTTTAATGACTGGCATTGACCTATCCATGAATAAGTTAACAGGTGAGATTCCCACACAATTAGGAGAACTTGCTGCACTTCATTCACTGAACCTTTCTTTCAACATTCTAGCAGGCCACATTCCCAAGTCCTTTAGTACCATGGAAGAAATAGAAAGTCTTGATCTTTCTCACAATAATCTAGTCGGAACCATTCCACATGACATAGTCCAACTCCATTTCATTTCAACCTTTAATGTCTCCTTTAATAACCTCACTGGAAGCATCCCTTTTGAGAACAACTTCCAAACTTTCGACGAGTCAAGCTTCATAGGCAATGGGGAACTTTGTGGCCCACCACTTCACACAAATTGTACTTCCAACAAGAACAGCAACAAGCCTCCTGAAGAACAACAACATGAAGAGGAGGGTGACAGAACAGGGCTTGCGGAGAGTGACTTCTTTTTCTACTCATGTATTGCTGTTTCCTATGTTCTGGGATTTTGGTGTGTGATTCTTCCTCTGATGCTAAGTGAAAACTGGCGCAGGAAGCATTATGCTGTAGTGGATATTTGCATTAACATATGCTGCAACAAGTTGTCTAGTTTTTTTCCTAAGTCGGGATAAAGATTGTTGTTCAATAATTCATTAACCAGAATTCTAAATCAACTTGTAATAGTATACTGTTTGAATTGGAGCTATGTCAGCTAGTATCTAATCATACAAAGATCTCTACATCAACTCATATTGCATTGCACTTACTGCCAATCGCAAAATGCACTTACATTGACGTTTTACTAAGTTACCAGCATTAGAAGCCAAAATGGTCAGTCAAAAGCTGCAATAGATACTCTTTTTGAAGTGCCTCTTTTTTTATTTATTTTTTATTTTTTATATATTCCTGTTAAAGTTTTTTTTTGTTGGGGGGGGGGGGGGGGGGGGAAAGGATATAGCTGTTAAAGATAAAACGTGCAAATTTGCAATGTGTAAAGCTAATCTTTAGCTCATTTTGTTACAAGATCTCAAACTGTCCAAATTACAGTAGAGCTGTATACATTCAATACAGAATTCATAGAGCTAAAACTTTTATATTAACATTTGTCCTTTGGTTTCTTATTAAGATTTAACTTCAGCAAAACTATTCTAATGATCATGTAAGTTAAAAGGAACTGATATTGAATGATGAGACAAAATGATCAATCTAGGTGGGGGTTTAGTACTGCTCCAGCAAAGAAAATCAATCCAGTCTTTTGTTGTTTGATAATGAACATGAAAGGATGGTCCGCCACAAAACTCTCAAGTTTCTCTTCAAGGGTAGGAGGAGCCCCAAATATGTCGAAGCGTGTGAAAGCTGCAGCCTCTGTGCCTTGCTCATCCACTTCAATGACAGCCTTTTGGACTATGTTTGAGATCACAGGGTGTTCTCCACTTTCAAGATGGACCATCTCTGTCAGCTCCATGGGTTCTTCCATGAATGGAAACTTTATGTTGCCAAGGTTGTACGAGAACTTGAATTTGGGTATCCAGAAATCCTTGAATTCTGTACGGGTTAGCTGGAAATTATGCCGGTTTATTAACCCATATGAATCTGCATTGAACTGCTCGAGTAGATTTTGCAAGCCATCTTTCGCATTTGGGAGGAGGAATTGCATGGAGAAATGCTTCTCGTCTTGTTTGCCACTTTGATATGGGATCTCTAGAGCTTTGAAGTTGTCGAACGAGCCATATAGATATGAACATGAACTAGTCATGAAGGGGACTGAAATCTTGTTTCCATCAAGCAGGTAAAAGTCCCTCTCCTCAGTCCTTTTAGGATTAAATTTGTTCTTCCAATATCCTTTGAAATAAAGTGCATTTCCTAGTACTAGTGCAGTAAGAGGATCAATATGTTTTTGAGAATCAAGAACTCCACTGATGAGGCCGTTGGTTTGGGACTCTACCCATGAGTTAATTTCCTCCACCGCTTCATCAGCCTTAATGCGGTTAAGATATGATTATGTCAACATAAAACATAATGTCGAGAAATCTTTCAATCATCATGATAGGAAAATACATGCATTATATGCCTGCGAATTCTAGAGATTTTGTTTATTCTAATGTAGGTAGCCTACTCTCCTGCAGATTCCAGAGATTATATCCATTCTAGTTAATGTAAGTAGCACGTAAACTTCGAGCAGGAATAGTTCTATTCTATTCTAGTTGTTAAACTTGACTTCGTTATACTCATTGTTGTACACGAATGTGTAAAAGTTTTAATGTATACCAATACAACTATATTGTGTTTTATACATCAGTTAATGTGAAAAAAAAAGAATATATAACAATCTCGTGAAACCGTACAAATCGTACTTCCTGCAAACCCAAAAGCAGAAGTGGAGAAACTCTACACTGCTCTCTCTACACACACACACACACTGGACCAGACGGCTCATGAACAAATGTGATAATCATTGGCAATTTCAAGAATTTTTGCGGGTCAGCAGTTATCTACACTTTCAAATTCCAGTTAAAAGGTATATACACAGAAGATTATCCATTGTACCCACTGTCATTTAGCTTTATACACCACGAACTATATATGATATTCGGCTCCTAACTTTCTAATTAAGCAAAACATGTCCGTCTGTAAAAAGTTTAGCTGCTTGCAGATGCGAACAAAAATTATTACTCCTACATTTGTTTAGCAGCATGAGAGTAGGTAAAGACAAGAAGAGATCATGCAAACAGAAGAATACCTGGTTGGAGAAATCGACGTTCTTAGCTTCTGCTTTGAAGGCATCCCTAACACATTGCTGGAAAGAGGGCTTGAGAGGAAAACGTTTATCCACCCAAACTCCGTTGGCAAACGAGATTTTTGGACCACCTTGTTGATCACCAGAACAACAGGATGCTGCAATACTAGACATGGCATCTGAAATTCTTGATTTAAATTCGTCCAAATTGTTTGATCCAACAAAGCTCAGTACACGCCGTTGAGAGCGTCCTGAACATCCAGCACCCACCATTGCTGCCATGGCACTCAACAACAGTGGAGATAGCACAATATTCTTATTGGAGAACCCATTTTGGAGGTTCTTCAGCAGAAGCTTTCCGGCCAAGGGGAGACAAGAATTCATCATCTTTCTTTATTTGGTCTCAAAAAAAAAAAACAAAATTGACAGAAGGGAAAATAGGTTGTTGAGCTTGTCATAAAACCCTAACAAGAAAAATTGATGAAAGGAATATAGCCCGTTGAGGTTGTCGTAAAACCCTATCAAGGTTCTTGTTAGGACTATCAACGGCTCGAACTAACTTAAATTCGACTCAAAAAAAAGCTCATTGAGACTAAACTTTAATTGGGTTAGGCAGATATTGCATATAAATATTAGGGATATGAATCAAGTTTGAGTCATGCTAGACTTAGTTTCAATTAAAATTTGATCCATATATGAGTGTAATTATATTTATATATGTAATATATATAATAATATCTGTAATTCATAATTACACATATTACAATGTAAAATGTTAATAATTTATATATAAATTTGTATAAATTCATAATTATAAAAAATAAATTATATTTAATTATATATTTAATTATGAGTTTAGACCAAATGCAATTTGATCCCAAAACTCATATAATAGTATAAATTGAGATTGAACCTTTTAGTGTGAATCCAAAAACCAAAAACTCATATAATTAATGAGCCGAGTTTAAACTTGTTAAAACTCGACTCATAAATCCCAAATGATATCCCTAGTACTTGTGATGGTTGATTGTTCAAAGTTAGTCCTGAAAATAATTGAGTTTGAACCTTTTACTATGAACTCGAAATCCAAAATTTCATATAATTAATGAGTAGAGTTTGAACTTATTAAAACTCGACTCATAAATCCCAAATGACATCCCTAGTACTTGTGAGGGTTGATTGCTCAAAGTTAGTCTTGAAAATCTGCTGCCGCCTACAAGTTGTTGGACCAAGTCATAGAAAAGTGTGCTAGTAGAGAAAATAGGAAGACCGATTGTAAGTTTAAAATAAAGGATTTTAATTTGAGTTGAGTTGAGTTACAAATGTCTTAATTCCCTTAAGGACAACTTAATTGTTGTTCTTATGAACTACGTCTCTAACACGCGTAAAAGGATACCCTTAACCCCATGGGACAAGGAACAAAGGGACAAGAGAAGCCAAAGCTATGGCTTGCCATCCTCTGTCCCCAAAACTACTCCTGTCCCTCTGTCCCCTTGTTACCAGTGGCTGCCACGTGGATTCTTCCTTTTTGAAAGCAAGTGAGCCAAATTTGTAGAGTCAAAAATCATTTTTTGTCTTGCTAAACTGCAAAAGCCCCTTCAATTACTTGGTTTAATTTCTGCATTTTCTAAGCAGCCACCAGTACATTCTTCTCCATATTAGCCTCTTTGCTGGTAGGTCTAAACTTATGTGCTTTTGCTAGCATGGAGAAGCGAGAAGATTTGTTAAGGAGAGAGCATCAATAGCCATCAACAACCAAGTATTCTTCTGAATTTTTCTTTGGTCTTTTTATGTTAGATTTTCAAATGAACTTAGAGGCAATGGGAATTTTGTTTTCGTACAAAAATGTAGCATTTGTCTGCTGTAATTTTTATGTGAAACATAAAAAAATCTGATATGGTGTTGATTTTGATTTCCCAGTTATATGTATGGTAATATAGAAAATGTCTAAACGATTGATTGAGCATACTTATACATTGATGATGTACACAGTACACATCGAATCTAATTAAATTTTTAAGAATGAAGACGAGGAAATTCGGCCATGCTATCAGTACAAAGCCCCTAGTTTGTGAGGATGACAGAAGAATCCGTAAAGATAGAAGAATCCGTAAAACATCATTTATTGTGTGATACACACGTGGCAGGAAATGGGACAAGGGACAGAAGGACATTAGGAGTTTGGGGACAGAGAATTTGAAGCCTAAAACTATATATGTGAAAATGGAAAAGCCAAGATACGTACTTTCTTTTTTTCATCAACTAAGTTTTTTTTTTTTATTCAAATCTCAAATTTCAACTTACCAAAATATCTATGACACAGACACAATGGAGGGAACCCAGGGGAGGAAGGAAATCAGATAAACAAAGGGAAGTCAAACTACCGCTCTATTCATCTAGAAGACCTTTAGAAAGTGTTAGAAAATAATTACAACTAAATAATATAGAATATGGTTTTGACGTGAATAAATTCACTTTTTATAAGGAAATTTGCCACTATTTTGCTATCAGGTTTGTGGCAATTTCCTTCAAGAAATAACAAAACCAAACCTAGAATTTCCTTATAGTGAATAAAGAAATTCTCCTAAAAACGTTTTGAATTTGTTTTTATTAGAAGTGAATGAATGAAAGAGATGTTAAAAGTGAGTAAATGATGTCTCCACCTTTTATTTATAACTAGTGGGTGGGGCACATACTATGTGTGTACATATTTTAGAAAAAAGCAAATAATAAAAAAGATATAGAATAAAAAATTAGTTAGAGAGATTTTTGGAAAGTGACGCAATGTTCATTAGTGGATTAATTAATCAATTAATCGGTAGTGATAGTTATCTAGTGGTAGTTATGCAGGGGTGAGGTTTTTCAGATAAGATATAGATAAATACTGATAAAATATTAAAAAGGTATTTTGAAAAAGTAAATGTTAACACCAAACCCCTGCTCATACTTTATTATATATATAGGTAATTACGTAGGAGTGAGAAGTTTTC